CCCCTGGACTATGGGGACCCACCTGACCCCTCAGTGGTAGAGAGGTGACTGTAAGCTCGAAATTCAGTAGAGGCAGAAAGAAGTCCCCTCAGAGCCTCCCGCCTGGCTAACAGCAGCAAGTTCTAGAAAGTGAGGCCCCCAGAAATCCTCTTGGGAAGCCTCATGCCATAAAGAATGACCCCTGGAGCCTGCGTAAGCAAGGTCACCACAACCTCCCCATCTCCTCTGTCCTAAAAATCCATCTGCCTGGTGTAAAGAAGCCAATTTGTCCTTCTGGGGGCCTCTTCTCCTCTCTCTATTTCTCTCCCTACTAAGTTAGTTATGGATCCCCAAATGGAGACCACCCTTCACTCACTGAGCAGGCCCTCCAGGGCTGAACCTAAGGCCTCCCCCCGATGCCTGGTCAGCCACGACATCACCACCTGGCCGAGGTCCCCGAAGGGTGAGCTCTACGTGGACAGAGCAGAACCCCCATCCCAGGCCCACGGGAGCCCCGAGTTACAGACAGCCCGTGGCAGCCCAGTTTCTACAAGAACCGGAGGACACGCAGACCCTCATGAGGTTCTTGGGAGACTTGAATAAGTGAGTTCAAGCTTATCAAGAATCCGATTCTCAGAAAACCATTCTAACAATTACTGCAGCGATCCACTGGCCACTGTCGGGGACACATGGCAATGCCACCCCTGAGCGCCGGGGCTCCACAAGCTATTTGAGTGTGCTGGGGGGTGGTACGAGTGACTGAATCGAGAGACACTCTTCTTTTGTCTGCTTGCTTCCTGGGAATGGCTCCGACTCCACCTCATTCCCACCTGCAGTGCTGGGCTCTGACCTGGTGCGTTCGAGTCAACCCTGTCCTGATAGCAGTGAGTCCAGGGATGGCCACGATGTGCCCTGAGAGGACCAGAGGGTCCCTTTAGCCTCTAAGTCCAAGGAGCAGGAGGTGTGAGCATCTCCACCATGAGAGAGAGCGTTGGTTCCCTCCACCAAGAACAGAGAGGGGAGGGGATGCCTGAGGCTACAGTCCCACGGTCCCCAGAGCTGGCATG